AGACTAAGCTTGAAAACAGCAACAGGAGAGCCCGTGTGGGCATCCAGAAGAGAGAATCCCTGGGGACAAGGGCCACAAGTCCTTACACACTACTGCCCCCTTTCTGGCCCTGTGACCCTAAGAAGGGACCCAGACCCCCTCGGGAGGCACCTGGACAGCAGGAAGGGTCGACTGGCTCATCCTTTCACAGACCTTTAGATGTGTTAGCACAGTGTTCCCAACAGATGAACAAATGAAATGACCAAAAAAGGGGCAAGGCTTCCACGCTGGGCATACTCAAGCCATGGGTGCCTTGCCCTGCAGACAGAACAAGCTAAATGGGGTAGAAGCAACATTTGAAAGCAACCCAGGCTCTCAGAGGTGGACCACGGGTTTTCTTTTCATTACCTCTCAGCTTCAGGGAAGTAGGCTGACACCTCTTAAGGTGGAAGCAGTGTCATTCATCTCTCAGATGGTAAACATGTGGGACCAGTGGTTGCATGCATTCCAGAGAAGTCCAACAAGGGTGGGTATGTGAGATTTCCTGTGTTTAATGGACTCTCGGAAAGTGTGGAAAGTGTGGTCTATTTTTGTCAGGCCGTCAACCACAGACCGCCTTGGGGCTGGAGGGAGCAGAGGCACAGCTAACACTGTGGATCATAAGAGGTGTTAAATTCCGTGGTGAACACTGGAAATATGCTTTTTTTTTCAATTGAAATATAGGCTATTTACAATGTTGTGTTAGTTTTAGGTGTACAGCATAGTGATTCAAGTACACATACATATATTCCTTTTCATTTTTTCATTATACACCATTACAAGGTATCAAACATGGTTCCTTGTACTGTACAGTAGGACCTTGTTGTTTATCTGTTTTATATGTAACACTATCTCCAAATCCTGAACTCCTGAGCTAGCCATTCCCACGCCATCTCCCCCTGGTAACCGTAAGTTTGTTTTCTATGTCTGTGAGTCTGTCTCTGTTTTGTAAGTAAGTTCATTGGTGTCGGGTTTTTTTAAGATTCCACACATAATTAATATTATATGGTATTTTTCTTTCTCTCTCTGACTTACTTCACTTAGTATGACAATCTCCAGATCCATCCATGCTGCTGCAAATGACATTATTTTATTCTTTTTTGTGTCTGAGTAGTTAGAAATATGCTTTTTCATTGGACTCTTTTAAGAAGCCTAAGCTGTACAAGAGTATTATCTTTCTTTGGAGGAGGGAATAGGCCGAGAGAGATTAAATCACGTGAGTAGCGTGTGCAGAGCTCAGGACCTGGGGCCAGGGTTCCCGCCCAGTGTGCTGGCTAGGAGCCCCAGCGCCTCCACCGTATGGTCCCTGTGGAGACCCAGGCCCCAGCTCCTCACTGCCTGGATGCCACTTCACAGACCCTACCATTTAAGTAAATTCTTTATAAACAATTAAGTTTAAGCACATTCCAGAAAGGACAAAATTAACTTTGCCAAATAATACCTAACTGGATAGGAAGAATATAAAGATGCATTGTTCGCTTGCCCTGAGAGTTCACGTCAAGGAACTAAGGTCTAGAGGAGGGATCCAGAAAGTGATGCCTCTGGTGCAATTTCCATTTCAGGCCATTTAAGGCCCCTTCTCTCCTGCCACCTTAAAACACATTTCCATATACTTGTAAATAGAATTAAGGAGATTCAGAGCTGGGGGGTGGTTGGCGCCAGGACCGGTGAGGAAGCACAGGGTTTGGAAAAGCGGAGTGAACCTCAGAAGGGAGGGAGACCCAGAGGAAAGGGCTCCTGCTGTGGGGCAGTCCTTGGGGGGTTGGGGGAGTGTCCCTGTCACCCCCTGTTGAGGGCTTTCCCACTTTCTAACATGCGTTTACTTTAATTTGTCCTTTGTCCCTGTCACCTCGCCACCGCCCTCCAGCACCCACGGGGGAGCAGCAGTGGTTCTGCCGAAGCTCCGAAGTGTGGTCTGGAGGAGAGAAGCACGGGGAGGGTGGCTCTGGCTGGGTCTCACCCCCTGGACCCCAGCATCTGGCAAAGGTGGCCCAGGCCCTCACAGCCGCTGCGCTTCCCTTAGGAACTTTCTCCCTCAGGGCAACTGGGTCTTCTTTGCTCTGGGTGCACTGGAGATGCTCTGCTCTTCAACGCTCCCTCCCGCTTTGACAGGCAGGACGGGGTGTCTGCATCTGGCTCGCCCTCAGCTCTCCATACAGTGCGGGGGCCCGCCAGCGGCTGCGCACCCCGCCCTCGCCCATTGCGTGGAGCCTGAGTGTCCACCTAAGGCCTCCTCTCAGCTCTCATCCGACATCCCTCTAAAGAGTGCCCAGCAGTGCACCTGGCTTCCTCCTCCCCATCCTTCCGCCCCTCCCTAGGCATCACATCTGCCAGCACCCCCGCCCAACGCCCCCATCTGCGCGCCCCAAGCTGTCAACAGCTTCTTGGCTTTTCAGAGGAAATCGACCTTGACCACGTTGCCAGCGACCCCGTCTTCCTTGGCAAGCTTTCTGTGCTGGGCTCCCTCATTGGATTCCTCTTCTAATGGGCAGATCACCCCCCACCACCACCCCACTCAGTGTTTGATAAAACGGCATGAACATTCCTGTTTTCTTTGTCAGCTCGGGGACCAAAAAATGAAACAAAACAGAACAGCTGAAAGCAAATGAATAATTGAAAGTGGGAAAATTATAATATCAGGATGGAATTTGAAGCACATTCCTGTAGCAGCTGTCAACATTTTAAGGTGGATTTAGATGAAAATATTACAATTTGAGGACCTTTGAATACACAATGAGTCATTGTTTTGATAAAATATTTCCCATTAAAGCTTTCCTAACAATCTGCCCCATCAATCCACCCTCCAAACACACCTGGTTCCTGATTTCTTAGTATTTAACTTTTTAAACCAATGTTTTTACTCATAAACCACCCACCCTGGGTACCACAATTGGGCGCCTGTGGGAGAGGCCACCTTATCCAAGACCCTGAGGAATGCCAAAACCAGAAATAACTGTCTTTTAGACAAGCTTTCATGTTTATCGTTAACGGGGGAAGCCATGAAAAGCTCAGACCTTCAGCCCTAGAGACGTTTGTCCCCATAGTTCTATAACAAAGTACACACCAAGAATTAACTAGTGGAAATATAGTGTTGATTTGGCTTGAAAATGAGTTTACATTTGTACTTGCATCTTTTTATATCAGGACAATTAATATGTCCTAGTAATTTAGCGATTTCTTTATATCAAAACGAAGTACTGCTTTAGAGTTCCTTAGCCAAGTCGTAGTGAAACAAGGAATGTAAGAGGAGGGGAGGGGGGTGGTTCTGAAATGCCGTCATGCCAGCGATGCTGATGCACGCAGGGCTCCACTGCATCCCCTGCAAGAGGAAGGTCTCCACAGAGGACCTGCCGGGTTTAGGGACTCCAGGGAACAGTCCAGGAGGCCCTGCCGATACAGAGATCGAAGCAGAGCAGCTGGCTGTGAAAAATTAATACCTTTGTAAGAGCCTCCGACCTGGTGTGGTAGCTGCAGTTCTAGACCAGGACCCTAGACACAGAGACTAACCCCGGATTTGTCCCGATGGTATGTCCGCTTCTCAGAGGCCAGTTACCTCATTATTAGCATCAGAGCAGGGGTGACTCCTCTGTGTCCGCTCTGGCTGGATGCTGCTTTACAACTGGATTTAAAATGGTGATGCAGTCTACAGGTGTGGAGAACCGTCATGACCAGCGCCTGCAGCCTGTTGCTCTGGGCTACCAAACAGGCATGCCTTTCAGTTGTACCTGGACCACTAATTGACACTGACCGTGGACTAGTCCTTTCACTTCCCTGAATCACATTAAGCTACCAGCACAGTATGTAGACCATAAACCCCAACCTTGAAATGGCAGGGGGACTGCAGTCCGTGGGTCACGCAGCACTGCACTGGATTCTGGGAAAGGCTCTGAGGCTTTGCTGGCCACGCTGCATGGGGCTTCCTTTGCAGTCAGAGGGGCTTCTGCTCCTCCAGAATCCCACGGGCAGCGTGGCTGCTTCCTGTAGATGTGCCCAGTCTTTGGCCTCCCGCCTGTCTGTGTCCACTTCCCATGGCAGTTTCCAACGCATGGGGTGCAATTTTCCCAGTTTCCTTACACCTTTACAGGCAGGCGGTTCCCAGTCTCCTGTGTGACATAATACAGCCCATTATGAGAAGATGGAGCCTGGCTCATGCCACTCTCAGCCCCTGACAAATACCAGAAAAGACAATCGAAGCGCTCTCCCCTCCTGCTCTCGTTCAGGGCTCCCAGAATGACACTGTCCTGCTTGGGGACTCTCGTGAGCAAGTTGCTTTTAAAAGCGCTCCTTAGCCTAGTTTTACGAAACTGTTAATCCTGGATTCTGAGCACAGCTGCTCATAAAGCCCCAGGGATCTCACTCTCAAACAAGGAGCGACTGAAATCTACTATGGAGAAAGGTAAATTCCAGGCCCTCTGCCGTGTGTCTTTAATACGCTCTCACGAGAAGGAACAGGAGGAGCCCGACAGAGCCCGGGGAGCTGCTGTCACGCCAACCAGGTGACCTGGTTAAGGACGTGAAGCATGGGCTGCAGTCCAGGAACAAACAGCGATGCTTCGGAAGGTCCACCCGTGTCGGGTTCAGTGCCGATGTTCCCAAGAGCGCGGAACTGTTCAGTAAGGACAGTAATATCCGTGAGGCGGGCAGGAGGCGTCGGGCTTCGGCGGGTGCTAATCTCGTCTGACGCAGGTCTAAAAAGAAAATCATCATCAATTTCTTGATGATGGCTAAAGATTAAGTGGAAAATCTAGCTAAGACTGTGGGGGAAAGGTAAAATCTGGTGTGAACTCTGCACACAGATGCTCTGTGTGTGCTTACTGGATGGAGGAACTAATTAACAGAGGGGAGAAACACTGCTCTGTGGACTGAGACGCAGTAACGTCCAGGTAACAGACAATCCAAAGCAGAAAACGCTTTTCCCACGTCTTCTAGGGACGTTCCTCCCCAGTGGAAGAACAAAACTGTTATTTGCCTTTTTGGGGAAAATGAAATGAAATAAGCTATCTCCAAGAAGCAGACAAAAATTTTGCCCTTAAAAACGTATTTTAAAAGTTTTAAAAAGGAATGTTTACCTCGAACCTCTGCTCTATGCAGATCAGAAACCCTACCCAGGTAGTCATTCATTTCGTAGGATTTGAAACCACCACCAAAACAAAGAACCAAAAGGCCCCGGCAGCCGGCAGGAGGCAGGGGTGACAGACCTTCCCTCTTTCTCTGGTTTTCTGTTCCCGGCAGCTTTTCTCTCACAGATCTGCATCCGCTGCAGAAGCCAGACCTGAGCTCTGAATCGGAGACGGGCTTTGTGGGCTGCCAAAGGATTCTAGCTTTGGATTTGTTTTGGTGGGGGGGCAAAATTTAAATTGGAATGGTTAATGTCCTTATGGAGTCTGCTGTCACTAGTTTTTATTATTAATATTTATAGCCTCACTGAAATTCATTAAGCACCTCTGAACATGCTACTGGCGTGAAGTTAACTTGAACGATCATTATCAACATTTTAATGATATTATATTTCCATGTGAAGATTTTCAACTCTTTCCATGAATTAAGCAGCTTCACAGTTGGTGATGATTCCAGGTTCTTCTCTCCCAACCACAGACCTCTCCTTAGTCCCCACTTAGAGAGATGGCTACTATTTGAGACTTTGGACAATGGTGTGGGTTCTGCAAAAACATGAGTGGATTCTATCTTCTTGTGAGGTCCGGAAGGGGCCACAATGGCCGTGTTCTGACACACACGGGACAGGATGCCTTAACTCTGGGACCCACTGGATCTGGGTAGCAGAAACATCAAACATTCAAAAGGCGCTACTGACTTTGTACCTTGTTTCCCCACACTTATCTCTGTTACAGTGTTTATCTTGATTTTTCCATTACGAAGACCTGATGTTACAAAATCCACCTTATTCACATTTCTTTGAAGCAAATAGGCAGAACACAGTCAGGAACCTCACTGTGAATTTAGAATTGGTCATGATGATTATATTTTTGAGAAATGTAATGTTAAAAAACCTTTAAAGCTACCTGATTTTCCAACTAAGCACGGACATTTTAAAATTATATACATTCAAGTATGTATGAAAGAGCATGAGGTCTGACACACTGCTGGACTGCAGTAACTACTTCAACTGAATGCAAACAAAAGACAAAATTACTCTCTAAGCCTTTAACTTCAGGCTTTGCCCAATAATAGAATGTGACCTAAATTTACTGACACCCTTGCCTACCTAGTCTGCTGTATTTCAGAATAATTAGATTATATCCTATGACAAAGTAGAGAAACAAAACACACAGAAAACCATAATGAACGAGCACACTGCCGTGTTCTGCTCAGAAAGAGGAGGCATTTGGTGTGTAAATATTATATTTGTCTTTCCTTATTTCAAGATTAAAGATTAAGAATATATTCCAAATATACCTATTTTTATTTTAAAATTGACTGCAATGCTTTAGTCATTTGCTACCTTTTCAGACTATAATGTACCTAAACATATGATCATATTCAAAATCTACTGTAAAAAAGAATATTATTATAAATAATTATAAAATTTTGAATAAATAAAACATCCTCAAGCAACAGAAATACTCAAAAGAGAGAAAATGCATTGCTTCCCCTTTTGAGGTGACAGTCATTGCAAGTCCTCGTTCTAAACGTTATAAAGGCAAAGGATTTACCCTGACTTTATGGGAGGGACTGTAGTTCACCCTGGCTAATGAGAAAAAGTTCTCCATCATGAAAAATGCAAGGTCTAATAAATGTAGGAGAAATGATGGATTTAGCAAAGAACCATTTTGCAACTGCCAAGGAAATCATAGGTTTGACAAGGATCCACCAATGGGTTCAAAACTATCAGATGATAGCTGGTGAAGATGAAGCTATTCTCTGGGCTTCCCACAAAGTAATGACTCCACAAATGACTTATAATTGCAGGTAGTAAAAGTGAACCCATACAAGGAGGGTCCCATGGTCACCACTTAACCAAGTCATCAGACTGAGCATCGAGGTAATGTGAAGTGAACAGTATCACCTAAGGTGCGTCCTTGCCTGAACGGTTCTCCCAAACTCAATCAAGAGCCACCTGTTTGCACAGGGAACTATATTCAACATCTTGTAGTAACTTATGGTGAAGAAGAATCTGAAAACAAATACATGTATGTTCATGTGTGACTGAAGCGTTTTGCTGTACACCAGAAATTAACACAACATTGTAAACTGACTATACTTCAATTAAAAAAAAATACAAAAAAAGAGTCATCTATTTGCACCTATTTCCTGCCAGTTATCCAGTGCAGTTATTAATAAGGGCCCTTTTTACTCTCAAAAGTATTCCAGTCTGGATGATACACTATATGGTTACCCTATTTAAATCTGACTTAGAGTGAACAGGAAATGCAAGGGACAGGAGAATCAGTTAAATGACACCATGAGGAAACAATCAGTAAAATCCAGAAAGCAGAACATTCCGCAGAAGAGTGGCCAGGCTTCTTCACAGCTTCAATGTTGTGGAGGTGCGGGTGGGGCTGGGAACCAGGGCGTGAGGCTTTATTGATTAAAGGACTCAACACACATAACAACCAAAATGAACTGTGAACCTTGATTGGAGCTTGGTTTAAGAACAGATAAAATCTGCAATAGAAGACATTAGGGAATCGCTGGGGAGATTTCATTCTAGATGATACTAGAGAGTAATAATAATTATTATTATTTTGTGAACTTTATGTGAAAGGGCGAGACTGTTGACTGCTCTGCTAGTAATTCGCTAGTTGACTGTCACACATGGCCCGTCCCCCATTCAGCCATTGCAAACGCTGGCCGGGGCTGCGGGATAGAGTCCTGCTTGGCTCTACCATTTGGGGAAAAAGCTCCACTGGCCCCAGTGGGCAAACAAATGGCCAAGAAGACATGAGGAAATCGCTTCTCCAAATTTTGGATGAGCTGGGGAGAGGTGTGTAAACGCAATCTAGTTGTAGAATCTTCCCAGTTAAGATGCTTGTTTTAACTGTTGAATTCAGCAGCTTTATATGAGCCAGGGCTTCTGATGACCATGGAGAGAATAAAAACTAAAAAGCACCAAACCCCCCAAAACCCGAATGCCTGTTGTTGCTGCAACCTAATCCAAAGGGCAATCCAACGCGTGTGGGCGGCGGGGGACAACATGGCAGGTTTCCTTTTGAGCTCCTCCGTGTGCACAGGGCACTGTCAGCGGGGCCATTTCCTGGGCAGGGGAGGATGAACGTCAGGGGTGCAGATCAGCTGAGGTGCTGGCCCGTTTGCACCCCCAGCAGCCTTGCCCCAGGTGATGCCCCACGAAGCCCCGGGAGGCCTGCACAGCCCCTCCTGGGTGCGGCAGCTGAGGGTCACTGCTGGACGTGTGTTTATCCGGACAACTTGATGGCCAAGCAACTGCAGGAAGGACAGGGAATGTGTTAGAGGGTTTCCAGAGAAAAGCAAAGCGGAGCGAGCAGAGAAGGGGGGCGAGCAGCCGCCCCCAGAGGGGTGCCTCGCGCCAATGTCTTCAGAACCACCTCCGGGAAAGTCAGTTCAGGGCAGCGCGGGTGACAGTACCGGGAAGGGCTGGGCACAGCGATGCACAAAAATTAACTCCCTTTTTGACATCAGAGTGACAGGTCTGTCTTGACAGAGCTCTGAAGGAAGCCCGTGTCGCATAAGGTTGTCTTCTATAATAGAGTATCTATATAATTCTCATTTTTCCTATTATAGGGTTGTGTGCAGCACAAAACAACAGGCATATTCATGTTTATTCATTAATAATTTTGTGGACCGTTTTCACCAGCACTCTAAGTTCCTTATTCCAGAAGGTTCCACTTACTCCCAGTTATTTATACAATTCAATGATACAATCATTACTTCACTTTAGACCTGCCCTTTAAAGGACGGTGGTGTCTGGGAGAGATCAATCCTCAATTCTCAGGGGATCTAATTGTTTCAGTATTAGGGTACCTTTTGGTTAAATGAGAAATTCATTCGTGTTAGTGTTTGAATGTGTGTGAGTGAGTGTGCCTGAGGGTGAAAGTGTGTGTGCATGTGCCTGTGTGAAGGTGAGGGTGAGGTGTGAATGTGGGTGTACATGAGTGTGGGTGTGAATGTGTGTGCGTGTGTGTGTAAATGCGCAAGTGTAATGTGTGAGTGTGCAGAGTGGAATTGCATTGTCATCAGACACTGGGATGTAGAGGCATCTCAAGTTTTGGATCTTGCCTCTCTGCCTCTTACTAGTGGGGAGATGCTGAGCAGGTTTCAGTTTTGGTGAGACTGGTTCAGGATCTGGAAAACAAAAATACCTATTTTATACGATTTTTTGAAAATAAAATGAGATGATGCAAGATGTCAATTCCAGGACCTGGCTCATAATAAACCTGTAATAAATGCAAGGTCCTATTATTTTGTGCATACTTCTTTTTCATTTGGTATATTTTGATGTGGAAATCTTTCAAACAGGTCTTTATTCTTTTTTCGCATTGGGGAGCTATATACAGAAGTTAAAATGCAAAATGCCCGCCTTTGGCCCATCTGTCTAAATGCCTATCCTTTGCCCTGTTTGCAGGTTGGTGAAGCTGTTGGCTAGTGCAGAAGTAGCTTCCCACTTCCCTTAAAATGGGTGGATGGGGTGGATGGGGACACTCGAGATCCACCCAGGGCCGGATCCGAGCAGCTTTTACTTGGTACCAATGTTTTGTAGTTGCTTAAATTGCTGTGAGTCTCAGTCTTCTCATTGGTAAAGCTGAGCAGATAGGATTCTGGGGGTCCACTTCGCTAGCAGTGAGGGGTGCCCGGTGCTGGGTGAGCTCCAGAACATGGTGGCTGGTCTTATTCCTGTGCCATAGCGTCCGTAGCTGAGAAGGAAGACCAAGATACAGATGAAAGAAAGAATGAGAAGGGGTAGAGGTGCGTACTGTAACAGTTCTTAGTCTTCAAATTACTGTAGAAAGACAGTATTGATTCAAACTATCAACCATGGATGCCAAGCCCTAAAGTAGATCATTCCTGTAAGTGCCCCTGGTTTTTCTTTTTGATAGATTTTATTTTTCAAAATAGTTTTAGGTTTACAGAGAAGTTGAGCAGAAAGGACAGAGTGTTCCGTGTATCTCCTTATGCCTTCCCTTCCACTCCTTCCCCACAAC